CCCCCCCCCCCCAACTTCCCTTTCATGGGCTCTCTTGAAGGGGCTCAAAAACAATGGGTGAAATACGACACGCTGCGCCCTTCTGATAAAGAAGGTTAAGTTGTTTGCCTCTTTTCGCACAGAATGCACCTTGGTTTCATAATTTGGCCCTATTCATCTTCCACTTGAAGCTGATAACCGGGTTTGCCAGGAAAAAGGAACTGAACGACCTCATTAAAAATAAGTTATAGAGTGTTTTCGTACAAGAAAGCTCCGAAACCCGAACATAAACCATCTCTTTCTGCCGAGTTGTTCTGTTTATCAACCATCGTAAATCCAGGGGGCTGCTTCGCTTATCAACTCCTTTCGGTGTCTCCCCCCTCGAGACCATTTTTTTCTTATGCAAAAACGTGGCAGCAATAAATAAATTCGCGTACCCTGGCTTAAACCGACTAGCACCCTGGTCTCTTTCAAGGCAGCCGTTAGCAGACATGGGTTCGAACCGCAACGTTCAGATCCTGCTCCGGATTTTGTATGCTTCAAAGCCTCGAATAATGTTCAGATCTCAAGTTTGGGCATTTATACACATACGTTTCCATGGCGCGCTGGAGATCCGGCACACCGGCGCACACTCGATTAATTGAGTCTGGTCTGTACGCGGGCTGGTGCGCACTGCGCTGTATTGCATCCAGTTGTGTAAGTGGCAAAATGCACGTAAGTGCACAGAAAATGGTGGCGGTGCACTTCTGAGTTAAAACACCTTCATCATGTTTTAGTACAAAAGGGTACCGCTGCCATTTTCTCAGCGCTGATGGGCCTATTTCTGCTTATACAAATGCATGCGCCGCTTTTATTAAAAGCACCCGGCGCTGCGGCACAAGCACGTGTACAAACGCCCTTTGAGTTCAGCCAGTCAGGCCTAAGCCTAATTGTGCAGGTGTAAATTTTGAACCCTCCCCATTTTAAGATGATTTCTAGTTTCAATGCCCAACTGTATGATAGCCCAGAGTGACTTTAAAAACGATCCCAGGCTTATTCAAAAAGAGGCCCAGTATTTCCTTGAAAGCCTTTTTGACTGCCCCTGGTCCAAACGCCGCGTGAAAGTTTTCACTCAGCTCCTCTACAAAGTAACGCGATTCCCCAGATACTCAGAAACACACAATTCGGGTAAGCAATGTGAGGGAGGATTAGACAAATGCTAGACGGCAGAGATAGGAAAGGCTGATTGGTTTTCCATCCACCTGCCAGTGCAAGACCGCTCCCTATAGGGTAAAAATGAAGCTCAGTCTATTCAGGGCAATGGAAGTTTGCCAGGAGCCTCCTACTTTATCCCCAAACCCCATTTTACATTGCTTTAATTACCAGGATGTACACACACGTGTGCGTCTGTGCGTGCGTGGGGGGCCGTAGTCCATTTTGACATGATCCAAAAGAATGATCCTATTTTCCTTCTAATTCAAACTAATGGCCCAATTAAAAAAAGCAAGCCATTCCTCAGAAACTGCACCACTTAACACCGGTGGTAGGAAAATTAGATGGTGTAAAAGGACCTTACGTCATGAACCGGCTTATTCCCCACCTTTTGCTTGATTCCTTTTTGTGTTGCTGTATGAATTTCCCAAACCCACCCCCCCGTTAGCAGCACTAATTAGCAAATAGCTCTTGGGTTAAGAGTCCGGGAATGAGCTCATAGTCCCGGCTCATGTAACACAACCTAAAATAACAAGATGGGACACACAATGCAGGGAGGCCTGGTTGTTGAGGGAGCCGCAGCGTGTCCGTCTCCTCCCTGTGCTTTTAAATGGAGCCAAAGAGCTGCAAAATTATCTGCCAAGCTCTGCTCGTGGTTGGGAACGGGGTGCAATGTGCTCACGGGCTCTGTGTTACGTAGGGGTGCGGAGGAGAGGCAAAGATAAGGGCACGCGGAGAGCAAGCCCCAGCGTCCAACGCCTCCTGTGCGCTGCTGGCAGCACTGCCAAGGACAAACACGTTTCTCCTCCGAGTGGCCAAAAAGTGAGCGCGAGCGGGTGGGTGTGCGATGAAAAGAGAAACAGGCTGTGGGACTTCTTTGGAAACTCCTTTCCACTACATTGGCTTTAGAGCTCCTAAAAAAAGGCAGGCTTGAGAAAAACAGCTACATCTCCTGAAAGCGAAAAGGAATAAAATATTAAGAGGCCTTTGGGACTCTACTTATAAAATCAAACCTGTATGGAATATTTCCATGTGAACATTAAACATCTCTGTGTAAGAAGTGTGAACCATATATTTCCCCGCCTCTACATAACAGCACTCTTCTGTGCCTCTCTGCCGTGACACCCTACCTCTCTGTTACCTGCCAGGCTAGAACGGGGCCGCTGCATTTAAAAGGTATTACATGTGATCTCCGAAAGAAAAAAAATAGTGGTGGGGGCGGGAAAAAAGCATCCGCTGGAGAGTGAAGAGGCCTGGATTAGCTACTATGAAGCCTGTTGGGGAGCACAGATGGATCAGGAGACGTACTGTGTGGATTTTACACCTATTTCCTTTGCTAATTCAGTACAGAAACCGTGCTGCGAGGGCAAAGCTTGCATTACATGGTACTTTGCAGACTCCTGTTCTGGGATGCTGGACATCTTCCGGACAAGCAGACCACGAACAACTGTGCAAATTAATTTATAGACATAGCACCTGGCTTCTAAGGCTACTAGGCAAGTGGGGAAATCACCACTGCATTTTATCTCTGCCATCCTCCCCACTGCTTCTGTCAGCTGTCTCTGGCCCCGCGTTGTCCGAAAAACATCTCTTTAAGAAACTCCCTTCAAAAATCACCACCTCCAACGTCACCATGTTGAGCCTCTGATGCTGCCACCATCCGTCTCATGTTCAGGGGACCCTTCTCTACCAGCCGCACATCACCACTAGCCCCAGGATGGTGACAGAGCTGGCAGCCTTCTCGTGCCAAACCAGGCTGAAAAGCCCAACTTAAAACACCCCCAGACAAAACTTATTGAGAAAATGAAATGCCATACAAGATTCATGCTGGCTCAACCTGAACATCCCATTCAGACGCATGTAAAATATCTAGTTTTAATGTGGACCCCTTTTTATTTTTTTTAAATGAATGTACCATAAAATGCAAAATAAAAAGGCATTCTGAAACCAAAACCCAAAGGCTTTTGTTAAATAAAGTCAACCTTTTCTAGCAACTATTTGCAAACAAAATGTTGTCAAACTGGACACGATTCCTTGAAAAGTTTTGAGTTCATCTAAACGGGGGGTTTTCCCCACCCGAAACCTGCTCCCACAAGCCTGTTCCAGACAGCTGGAATGACTGCAGATGTTGCCTGACCCTTCTTTGTTTGCTTAGCATGATCCCACCATCAGTCAGAGGAGCAAAAGATGCCTAGCCCTCAACTTAGGACGAGCTGGTAAGCACCAGTTCCTGACGGCTTCAGGAAAGTAACCCTTCCATAGCTCTCCAGAGCGGTCCAACCAGTCGTGGTCATCGCTTTTAGTCCCAGTTGGCAAAGTGAAAATCTAGTTGCCCCACATTATCAGAGACTCCTGAGCAGGTCTTCCTAAGATGTGTGCCACCCATGCACCATCTCCTTCTAGTCGGCTTGATCAGGCCAGAATCCTTCTGAGAAGTACCTCGGTTCTGGAGAAGGGAGTGCTTTCCACACCCCAGAAGCGAGGTTTCATGGGATCATAGGGAAGCAGGACTGGAAGGGCCCTCAGGAAGTCATGTAGTCCAGCCCCCTGCTCAAGCCAGGATGGTCCATGACTAGCTCATCCCAGCCAAGTGTCCAACCTGCTCTTGAAAACTGCCCAGGATGGAGACTCCACAACGTCTCTCTCCAGCCTTTTGCAATGCTCAACCTTGCTCACAGTCAGAAAGTTCCTCCTAATCTCCAGCCTAAATTTCCCCGGCTGCAGGTTGAAGCCATTGCTCCTATTCCTGTCCCCCAAAGCCACAAAGAAAAGCCCATCTCCACCCTCTCTGTAATCACCTGTCGTGTATTTGAAGACTGATGGTTTGGTACTATTGGATCAATTATAACAGTGCAGGCCACAAATTAGCCCCACACCCTTCCCAAGGACCACTTTGATCCCCTTCCTCTGCCTGATCTGCTACTCTTGATTTCTGCTCCCTGTCTGATCTCCTGCTCTGCTTTCTGCTTCCTGCCCTACCTGCTGCTGTGCTGCCTGTCCCCTCCCTGCTCTGCCATGTGTCACATACGGAGGCTGCCTTTTGCCACAGATGGACCACTTCAAACTATATAATGGGCAGAGATATTAGGTTTTGGGGCACAAAATGCTCTGCCTCAGGTCTGCCCTAATCCCCAGATCTACGTTTCCCCCATCAACACCCCCTATTTCAATATCATATTTATGTACTGAACCAAAGCTAGCTTCATAGCTTCGATCACTAATGTGCCTATATCATTTATTAAAAATCTTTTTGCTGCAGCGGAGCTTTGTCCAAGGCAGAAGAGAGTGAATCAAGGCAAGACTAAAGGACTCGATGATCCCAGAGGTATCTTCATTCCTTACAGTCCCTCTAGCATTGCAATGATGGGATCATATAGCACAAGGTTGATACTCACACACTGTGTCCTCTCCTCTCCCCCCATGAGGCTTGTCCCAGACACTTGTCACAAGCCCCAGAGGTGTTTGCCTAAATTAAACCAATGGCAGCAGTCTCCAGCTTCAAGAAGGAGATGACACCTGCAAGTCGGCAGTGTAGGTGCTGCTGTCTTATCCCTGCCTTATGCATGGAGAGGAGCTGAACCTGAGCTGGGAGGTACCCTTGACATCTCTGATCTCGCTGGGGCACTGCACGTTCAGCTCAGTACCTGCCACTGGCTGCTCCTGTGTGTATATTGAAGGGTGGGGGGAGTTACACGCGGTGTTACATATGTGTAGTGTGCAACACGCCGACCCTCTCCAGTGGGACATGCCGCTTCAACTGGGACACGTCTCTGCCACGTGGCAGTGGGAAACACGAGAGTACAACCACAATCTGCCCCTTGAGTTGTTACCTGTCTTGTGTCCCGTGAGATCCCACTTTTTCATTCTTCATGCAGAAGTCAGGTGAGCTCTGCAGGTAAATCAGCTCCGTCTCTTTAACCGGCCTGATGTCGATATCCTTTGGCACCAGATACTTGCGAGTTCCCATGGGTCTGTGCACCACCTTAGTGGCCGACAAGTACTTGTTTTTGAGATCCTGAGCAATGTCCCTCAATTCTTGCAGACCCTTCCAGCAGGTCTTGATAGAACAGGACCCAGATACTCCATGGCACTTACATTTCATCTCCAGAGAGGCTTTGAGGACCTGGGAAAAAGAAGCAGAGAGTTACAAAGTGACCTCCTCTTCACTACGAACTTCCCAGGAGATGATCAAGGAGTCAATGTCTTAAATGTAATCCTTAAGAATATAAGGACAGAAGATGTGCCAGACTGGGTCAGACCACTGGTCCCTCTAGCCCAGTGTCCCGTCTCCAACAGTGACAGAAGTAGATATTCAAGGGACAGCACTGAACCAGATAGATTTAGAGTGATCTATCCCCTATCCATTATCCTCCCGGCATCTACCACTGTTGGTGTAGATACCAGAGGAAGCACTCCAGCCACTCAGTTCAGCAGCTACTAACAGATCTATCAATTGACATGAAATCTGTGCCTCCAACATGCTGCCAGAGCTCAGATTTATCCAGATCCCAGGTGAGCCATAGCAAAGAACTGCTATATTACACATGAAAACATTTACTTTGCTTTTGCAGTTTGCATTATTCCCACAATACAACAGGAGGGATCCCTGAACAGAGCCGTGCCCCTTGACGCCAGTCAAAAGGATTAGCCCCAAATTGGATCCAAGACATTCAGGAGCAAGCATGAAAAGAGATGTGGTGCTGTGGTCAGAGCACAGGAGGCAGGGACTTCCTCTGCGGCCACGGACAAGACTCTCGGCGCTCTGCGTTATGACTCGCACCTGGGGCATTCGGCAAGTGGGCAGGGGAACGGCAGCGAACAGCTATGGAGGTGCCCTACAGGGGCTATTCCAGCCCCGTGCCTGGAGCAGCATACTCAGGCACCCACGGGGGACAGAAAGGACCACGGCATTATATGGGCTACCCTCCTCCCCACACCCTTCGGCTCCAGGAGAGTGGAGCTGTGCACCATGCAGTGTCTGTGCAGGCTGAGTGACGCGGGCATCCAGCTCCACTCGTGCAGAGCAATGCACTGAGAGGGAACCTCAAAAAAAGCCTCTGCAGCCCCAGAGGGAGGAGGAGATTTTACAGCCCTCACTGGCGGAGGGCTGCTCGTGCAGGCAAAGTGCCAGCATTAATTTGGGAATGAAGTGCATTTGAGAAGCAGAGCCAGACTCCAGGCTCTGTCAGGCACCTCCAGAATTGCTCCCAGGATTGGGGAATCAGCACTACTGACCCCCACAAGCTGCTGCAAGGCAGCTGCTGCTCTGCTCCTTTCTCACACAACGGGCCCAAGCATTTGTTGTGGGTGCAAAGCACTTGGCTAGTGTTAACTTGTTGCTCCACACAGTGAGGAGCATGGGGAAAGCATGGGGAAACTGAGGTAGGGCAGTGAAATGACCCATACTATATCACACCAGGAGTCAGGGCCAGAGTTGAAATAGGGATTCAGGACCCCAGCACCTGATGCTGTGTTTAGGCCCCCAAACCACTAAGAAACATGTATTTACGTGCCATAGCTTGCAAAAGAAGAGGAAGCAGTCCAGGCAACTGCCAAGGCCTTGAGCATCCTGAAGTCAAGCCTGTACTCTGCCACAGACTTCCCACGTGGCCTGGGGCAAGTTTCTTAGCCTCCGTTTCCTCTCTGGAAAATGGGATCACAGTGTTACCCTTCCTCACAGATATGTAGCCCAGACACTGCGGTAACAGAGGCCAGGGGAGTACCTTAGTCCATGCCAGAAGGGAGACTTGAATCGAGGAGTTCCTGGTGCCCAGCCCAGGCTACATGACCACATCTCTTTCCTGGTTTTATGTACATGAGTATACACAGGCATTATTCTCCCAGAGGCTGCATTAGCATTTCTGCAATGCTTATGCAGGCCGACAGAGTTCAGAGTGCTCTGGGAAAAAGGCCTGTGTCGGTCACTAGCTGGCAGAGACACTGAACATCACAAAGCCACCAAGCACTACAGATGATGGTACAATGACAATAACTCTCTTGGATGGTTACCTGTCTCCCTACTTCACTGTTGTGCAGATGCATCAGCTTATTGGCTTGTGATCCTGATTTTTTCATCTTCATGGGAGCATCTGAAAATTTGGACCCCATGATAAGACCATAGTTGAGGTTGTCAGCACATCCTCCCCATCGATACCCAGGTCCAGGTGTCTCACCTGGGATGGGACCACAGGAACAGCCAGGGAGGTCCCCCGTGGTGCAGGCCCTGGCAATAGTGTGGCTGATGGCAGCAGCGGAGAGGGCATATACAAATGCTGACTCCCTTGTGCCTGCAAGACAAGAAAATTGCAAGTCAGCCATCAATGCTAATGTGCTGCACTACCCAGCCCTTGCCCCTGCCCCATTCCCAGCCCCTGCTCCTGCCCTAGAAAGTGGGCCTCTATCACTGACAAAGTGGAGAAGCAAAACAGGATTGTTTTCCCCCCTATAACCAAAGAACGGGGCTGTCATAGGCACTTGGGCCTTCAGCACTATCAGCAAGTAACCCAGGCAGTTGGCTGGGTGGGCTGTACTGCAGGCATTGAAGTAGCAGGTGGGTGTGGGATAGGGATGAAGCCAATTCTCAGACCTATTTGAGAATGGGAACACGCAGCACAGTTACAGCCAACACTATTTCACTTGGTCCTGGAACAATTTGCTGCTACGGTTTAATTCACCGCTGTCCTGCTTCTCTGCCAGTGTCCATCCGTCCCCACCTCTGCACTGTCAACTCCTTGCACGTGGTCCCCACTGGATAAAGCCACCATGACTCGCATCCCCTTGGAGTGGCGAGCTCACCAGAGTTAATGTGCGGTGCAGTAATTTATCCCCAGTTTCACTGTGCAGTAAATGTGTGCTGTAGCGAGGAGGAGACACCCAACCCGCCCTCCCAATCCGAGTCTGCAGCAGGTGCTGTGATAGCACTGGCCACGAGGTGGCAGGAGAGTCTGCTTGCATTGCTCAGCTAGGGGCATGCACACATGACTGCTGCATCAGTGTAACTTTCCCCAGGCTAAGTCTTCCTCTGCACTTTCCAGGGGATAGCGACCCCAAAATGGACTGGCTTCCACCCGCACGATGGTGTCCACTCCAGTTTTACCAACATCAAAGTACTCCGGAGTAAATGCATTATGTGCGTGCCCCCTGAGAGCGATACTGCAGCCGAGTACAGTGTCAGGCCCAATTCAGAATGGGATAGAGATGTACAGTCCCTTCCCCATTTGCAATGAGGTCCCCATGACCTCCTTCATTGCTTAGGGCTCTTGTTCCCACACCTACACGCACACCCCAGCTGCCCCCTGACCCTTGGCCACCTCTTAATGCCCAGCAAATCCTGGAGGGTAGCTCTGTCTTTTACCTCTCTCTAAATCCAGCAGGTAGTTAGGGGCCAGCTCAATGGAGGAGCAGTTCCAGCGCATGTCAGAGAACGTTTTGCGGCATGTCTTTATCACTTCTCGCGCCGCCTGGATGATGGTTTGCATGAGCTCTAGGTTGCTGCGGCACAGCTGCACTTGGGACATTACCAGGCCTTCCAGCTGTTTGCAATGCTGGGTCTGATTCAGGGCAAGGACCGGGGGAGTCTTGGATAACGCTCTGAGAACAAAAAAAAAAAAAACACCCACCACCACCAAAGCCATTAGAAAGTGATCCATCAGTCCAGCCTCAGCTTCTCTCTGTGATATGCCTCCCATCCACCTGCAAACCGTTTGTCTTGGACGTAACATCCCCTCCCCCTTCCTGTCTATAGCAAACATTTCAATCTATTTAAAGGTTGCCAAAAGGCAGGCTGAGAGAGCATGCCGATTCTTCAGGAAGGCCATCAGCTGGGAGAGGAAGACGACAGGCCTCCCCAAAGACAGAAAAATGACCCATCAGTTGCACGATAATATATAGCTGGATCTCCCAAGGCTGCAGTCTTAAGAAAGCAAGCAATGTAGGCGTTATCAGTTTTCTGCATTCAGAATCCATCTTGCACACCCCTCAAAGGATTATGCGAAATGTCAAGGCATGAATCATGGAGAAAATCCCCTGCTAGGGCTGGAAGAAAAAGCAATTGAGTTTCCAGAAAAAAAAAAAAAAAAAGAAACCCTTCATGCTCTGTCTTTGAATTCAAGCAAACCACTTCCCCTGTTCCACTGCCATTGCACTGAGATACAGGTAGATCCCGATAAAACCCATGGCAAAAGTCAAATGATAGCACTGGAGAGAGAGTAGCCTGGTCCAAGTCGAGAGTTATTTCAAAACACCAGGGCCTGTTACCGTGAAGCAATGCAAGACCCTACCCTACACCATGGGCATGGGCTCATCTATTTTGGGATTCTTTCCACACCAGCAACTGCTCAACAGTGGTGCAAGCTGTTTGTGGGATGCAGCCCCATGGGTGCACAATGCTTTCCCAGGTACCCACAGGCCACTGATTGGAGCCCAGAGCCAAATGTCGCTGGTGTCTTTATGATCCAGCTAGGAAGGCCATAAGTGTTACTGATTCTCATAAAAAACGACTTTATAACTCACAGCATCAGGAGCTGGTGAATGGCCCTGCTCAGATCAGCAAAGGAGCAGCCCAAAAACCTGCTTCCTTCTACCTGCGTTATAGGAGCTGCGTGTCAGCCTCATCCCATACCCAGCCGCGTCTGCTAGGCAAACTGTGCTGACGAATGGACACATTTAGGGGCAGGTTTTATTTCCAGTGGCAGCAGCGACGTGCTTCACTCTTTGCAAAGCAGAACTAGAAAGAGGCCCCAACCCTTTATCTTTTTTGCTCATCCCCACCCTTGGAGCATTCCCATCCACATCTGGATGTCACACAGCTGGACCTTCTCTCAGCCACCGGCTGAACGCAGTGCTCACACCCCAACAGGGTATGGATTTCAAGGCCAATTCCCCACCCCCCTGTCCACGGCTGCATGCATCTGTTGCTCTCCTCTTCCTCCCCACCAGCCTGTGTAGTAGAAAGCGCCATTGCTCGCTAGAGCTGAGCAAATTCTCAAAGACAAATGGCCCCGGGCAGATAGAACTGGCACTTCCGGAGTCAGAAAAACGTTTGCAGACGTGGAGGGGGAAAGGGAACCCCTCTGGCTACACTTGTGGCCCATGTGATCGTGTCCATTAAGTGCACATGGCCAAGGCACACTGGGAATTAGGCCAGTGAATTCCTAAGAAGCAGAAAGCAGGTGACACATTTGCTCTGGAGTGCAGTTCTGCCCTTTCCCCCCCGACTTCTGTTCTTCCTGCATCCAGGCCCCAAATCATTTGCAGCTAGGCAAAGAAGACTGAAGCAAATTCATCATGATGCACACCAGCCCCTTGCTCCAATGAGCCGCCAAAGTGAGAAAGCCCCACATTTGAGATGCTTCGTGGATTTGGGCCCTAGAGAGTTTTGGCTTTGGAAACCAGCAGGCTTCTTCCCTCAGCTATTGTAATGGAGCACAGGCCAAGAGGAGACTTCTCAAGTTAGAAAGGTCCCAGCCACTACGGGCGTAAGCAGCTCCTGCAATTCCTATGTATAAACAAATGCATGTCCAGGGAGAGCTCTGGGTTCGGGTCTCGGCCCAGCCCAGCAAGAAGAACAGCAGAGAAAGGATGCATGGCCCAGGAATCAGGCAACTAATCTAGAAGCCATGGGCACAAATCCCTGTTTTCCCAAAAGTATCTTCGGGCAGTCATTGGCCTGTCTGGGGAACCCTTCCCCAGCTTTGAAACGGGGGTGAAAGAAAGATCGCTGTCCTTCCATTTAAGAGTGCAGTGCAGATAGATTAGATCACTAGGAGCCGAGAGCCTCTGCTAATGAGGGTTAGACATCCTGCATCGGTTGCAGCTTCTGGCTTTCAAAGGTGAGTGCTAAGCAAAGCACGCTGCAGAAACACCTGCTCGGTCTTTCCCCTGCTCTTCATGACCAAGCTTTCCCCCTGGAGGTCTTCTCTTGTGTTATCTGGATCTATGTGATTGTGGCCATCATGGGTTGGGCAGAGGAAGCACTCCCTGCTAGCTCCGTGTCATGCTGAGTGAGATGGGACTCGATTACTACAGGCTGACACAACTCGGTAGTCAGTGGGCGCATGTACACGCCACATTTTTTCAGAGATTCATAGATGTTAGGGTCGGAAAGGACCTCAGTAGGTCATCGAGTCCGACCCCCTGCCCTGGCCTGGAAAGAGCGCTGGGGTCAAACGACCCCAGCCAGGTGCTTGTCCAGTCCTTTTGCCCTTTCATCCGGGCCTGGCCACCGAGAAGATATTGCATCTCTTCATTGTAGGTGCCTGGACACGTGCTGAGGAGGAGCTGGCCTGGGTAAAACTGAGACAGGGAGAAGTGAAGCTAATGAGAGCTGCTCCATAGATCAGAAAAGCAGGCCTTTGGGAGACAGCCATCTCCTCGTGGCTTAAGTTCAGCGACTAGACTGGAAATCTGATCCTGAAAATACATTGGCACCTCTCAGGGACCCACTGAAGAGCTAGTCGGGCAAGCGGCCCATGCCAGCATGCGAATCAGGCCCCAAAGATGGGGGCTGCTAGGGGAACAGCAAATGAATAGACGTTGACGGGGCTGCTCAAGTGATATTGCCTTGTTAGTTGGGCTCTGGGTAATGAAGGATTGCCCCGTTACCCCTAGAGAAGCCAAATACAGAGGACTGGAATCATCTGAGGAGCACGTGGGTAGGCGAGGAACAAGGATGCTCAGGCTGGGACAAGACCTGATCTGGTCTGTTGTGTGATAGGGCTGTGAAAACAGAAGACCATGAAAGCAGACTGCTGAAATATGGGCAGCACCACAAATGCACTGAGACTATCACAGGGGCAAGGATGTTTAGTGGTATCTTTTCCTGGACCAACTGTATAGGTGGGAGAACTATTGGACAAGCTTCTAGGTATCATATGCCCTTCCTCAAGTCTAAGTTATCCAACACCTCTCCCAAAGATGCCACTCAACATCCTTGCCCCTCAGACATTTCCTAAACCATCCTGGCCACAGCAAGACTCCAACTCTACAGCATGGGAAATGAGCATAGGCAGGGAAGGAGCTGAATGAACAACTACAGTGACAGGAGGGAATAAGGCAAGGTGTGTGTTAGCGGAGGAAGCTGGGATGTTTCATGGCTCAAGCCAGGAGAAATTGAAGACATTTGGAGAAAGAAAACACTGCAGCCAGGAAGACCCAGGAGAGAAAGGTGGCTGGAAACCATCACAGCGTGGGTCAATGTTAATGGAGCAGGGAGGAGTGTTATTATGAACAGCAATATCAGAGCAAAATGTGCTGCAAAGACTCTTGCATATATTGATAGCGACTTTTATAGATGAGATCTTCTAGACTCTAAAGCAACTGTGCAGGGGATAAGAAAATGGATTCATGGAAGGAGACTGAATGTGAAGGATTTACAGTGAAGTCAGAAAAAAGAAAGGGGGGTGTATTCGAAATTTAAGCAGAGGAATTCGGTAATTGGTGGCAATTGCTGTTTCTCATTGAGCCAGCCGTGCTCTTGGGAGCCAAGAGTGAATAAAACGCAGGATGCAGAAATGGATCTTCTGAACATCTCTCAGGCCCGAACTTCATGCCGGGGCTTACGAGAATTTATAATTGGAAACATCTTCGAGCATCAGGAGGCAAATGAAGAGGGTAATGGAAATGGAAATGGAAAAGAAAACTCATCTTTATTGGAGTCGCTTTCAAGGAGTGAAATGCAGATTTATAAAAGTCACAGATCAGGAATGCAAGGGACCCATGAGGTCATCTAGTCTGTGCCCCTGACAGTCCAGGCCTGGTCTCTCTCGGCTGTGAATTAGCTTGTGTATAATCCTCACCTAAGTTTGATTCTTAGTAGCCCCCGTGACAACCCATCCGCACCTTCCAGAGAGAGGATATACGACAGCAGGGGTATCAAACGGACCGAAAACCATAAACCTAAGCACAAGCAAGGCTGATGCATTCATCATCATGACACTTGTTGACTCTTTCAATTATCTCAGACAGTTAATAAATTCATCTGAAAATATGAATGAGCTGCAGTATTTAATCCACTGGGAGGAATCAGCCTGATCTAGCAAACCCAGGCACCGCCTGCACAAGAAAGGACTGTTCAGACGTGAAAGGGCTGTGAAGGCTCACATCACATATAAGGGTCTAGTTCAAATCTAGACGAACATCAGAAACCAAAAGAACTGAGTCAGTGTCTGAGAGGGAGAGAGGATCATGAGGGAGGTTGACCCCCACCAGAAACCACCCCCCTTGACTTGAATGCTTCAGGACTGAGTCCAACGTGTCTAAAGAAAAAAAAAAAAAAAAAGCACCTTAAAACATCACACGATTCCATCCCAGGTCACCCCTGGAAAGCGTTTTCCCCTTCCCCACTTGTGTGATACAACGTGAGAAGCTGTGGCTTGGCCGTGGCCAAGACTGTTGACTAAAACCAAACCAGAATCTTTTGCTCAGGGAAACGCTTTCCAGGGGTGACCTGGAATACAATCCTGTGATGCTTGAACGTGGGGTTTTATTTTTAAAGCATTCAAGTCAAGGGGAGTTTCTGGTAGGGTCAGTCCTCTCAGACACTGATGTACACACACACACACACACACACACACTTTATATATATGTATACA